GGCTTTAATTGGGAAGTTTAAGTTGTCACCTCACCCTAACCATTAGAGGAATGGAGTCTTGAGAGAAAGATGAAGCAAGTTACAAGGAATGAAGAAGCAGGCCTGGTGCAGTGTCCCACACCTGTAATCCCAGCATTTTGGGAGACCAAGGTAGGAGGATCCCTTGAGACCAGGAGTTTCAGACTAGCCTAGGCAATGCAGAAAGACTCTGTCTCTACAAGAAACTAAAGAATTAGCCAGGTGTGGTGATGTACGCCTGTAATCTCAGCTACTAGAGGGGCTGCCGGGAGAAGACTCTTTAAGCCCAGGAGTTAAAGGCTGCAGTGAACTATGATCGTACCACTGCACTCCAGCCTGGGCAACAGAGCAAGACCCTGTTTCAAAAAAAGAGTGAAGAGGCCAGGTGCAGTGGCTCACACTTGTAATCCCAGTACTTTGGGAGGATGAGACGGGCAGATCACGAGGATCAAGAAATCAAGAACAGCCTGGCCAACATGATGAAACCCCATCTGTACCAAAATACAAAAATTAGCTGGGTGTGGTGGCGTGCACCTGTAGTCCCAGCTACTCAGGAGGCTGAAGCAGAATTGCTTGAACCCAGGAGGTGGAGTTTGCCATCAGCTGAGATTGTGCCACTGCATTCCAGCCTCATGCCTGATGACAGAGCAAGACTCTGTCTCAAAAAAAAAAAGTGAAGAAGTTAATTTTTTTCCTCATCTGAATTCTGATATGTAAATTTCATCCCCTCCAGTTCTCTCTTTCCCCAAGGCCTTATCCTAAACAACTGCTGTGAAAGTTATCTTTAGGAAACACAGGTTTGATCATGATGCTTCCCTGTTTAAAGCATTGATGGCACTTCAATTGCATGTAGAATACTACACTTGATCTTAGCCAGAAGGCTGAGAAGCAATTGCCTACAGAATAAAGTTAAAACTGCTAAGCTTTTCATACCCTGGCTCTTCCCACCTACCGTTTCTGGAGATATCAGCTATTTGGATCTGCTTTTCAGTCTGTCTAGAATGCCTTTCTCTCCCTTCTCCTACTTCAAGACCCAGCACAGTTTCTTTGTTTTGGGTGGCATTTGTTTGCTTGTTTGTTTGTCCTGTGAGACAAAGTCTGGCTCTGCTGCCCAGGTTGGAGTGCAGTGGTGGTATCCCGGCTCACTACAGCCTTGATATCCCAGGCTCAATCAATCCTTTGACCTCAGCCTCCCAAGTAGCTGGGACTACAGGTGTGTGCCACCATGCTGGATTAATTTTTATATTTTTTGTAGAGATGGGGTTTCACCATGTTGTCCAGGCTGGTCTCAAACTGCTGTGCTCAAGGAACTCCAGGGCTCAAGCTATCTGTCCAACTCAGCTTCCCAAAGTGCTAAGATTACAGGCATGAGCCATGGTGCCCAGCCAATATTTTTTGAGACAGGTCTTGCTCTGTTGCTATGGCTGTATCATAGCCCACTGCTCCCTCGAATTCCTGGGCTCGAGTGATCCTTCCTCCTCAGCATCCTGAATAGCTAAGACTACAGGCATGCACCACTATGACTGGCTAATTTTTCTTTTTTCTTTTCTTCTGTTTTCTTTCTTTCTTTCTTCCTTTTTTGAGATAGAGTCTAACTCTCTTACCCAGGCTGGAGTACAATGACATGATCTCAGCTCACTGCAACCTCCGCCTCCTGGGTTCAAGCAATTATCCCGCCTCAACCTCCCAAGTAGCTGGGATTACAGATGTATGCCACCATACCCAGATAAATTTTATACTTTTAGTAGAGATAAGGTTTCACTGTGTTGGCCAGGCTGGTCTCAAACTCCTAATTTCAGGTGATCAGCCCACCTCAGCCTCCCAAAGTGCTGGGACTACAGGCATGAGCCACTGTGGCTGACCTTGGTTAATTTTTCTTTCTTTTTTTTTTTTTTTGTAGAGATGAATTCTTTCTATATTGCCCAGGCTGGTTTCTAACTGCTGGACTCAAGCAACCCTCATGCGTTGGCCTCCCAAAACACTAGGATTACAGGTATGAGCCACCACACTTGGCCCTGGCACAGTTTTTTTTACCTCCCTCTTTTTCTTAAACTGCCTATAGGATTCACTGCTCCCTCTACCATGATTCTACAACACTTTGCAAAGATCTGTTACAAATCCTTACATACTGTAATATCATTTGCCTGTATCTGTACTACCCTTAGATTATGAACTCTACCCATCGTTGAACTCCTCACCTCCTTTTTTTAGTTTTGTTTTTCATCCCCTGAATGACTCTGCTGTTCTTCTCATGTACCTTGTCCTTACCTTGGCACCCTTAGGCAGGGGAGCAACAGAGTCACTATAAGTGCTATGGGATAAGGGAGTTAATCTCATAGATTAAAGAGTTAGAATTTACAAAACAGCTGGAGAAGTGAAGATCAGATGTGGAAGTTAGAAGATCAGAGAAAGAGTTGCCCATCTGCCCATCCAAAAAGCTAAGTATGTCCCATCACTGAGGTAGAGTCATCCATGGGAAGCTGTTGCCTCTAGGTAGGCATCCTCTTTGTCAATTCACAAACAAGAGTTTGTTATTGGGCAGGGACCACTGTTGGTCAGTGGGGCCAGGCTGGTCACAGAGAGAGGGAGAGTGAGAACAAGCTGGAGACAGCTGGGCACCTTTGTGTCTTCTGGTCATCTCATCTTACCATCAAATGACTCTCAGAGAAATGACTACTCTTCCAAATCTCATGCAAGTTATTCTGCCCAACTTTAACCCAGAATCATACAGAGGAGACCCTGAGAACACCAGTTTAACCAAGTTGACACAGCACAAACCACCACAACACTGTACTATAGCCATCATTTACTTCTGTCTGCCCCTCAGCAAGGTTGAGAACTCCCCAGTGTGAGCAAGAATTGACTTTTTTTTTTGAGACTTAATCTTACTCTGTTGCCCAGGCTGGTGTGCAGTGGCACAATCCCATGTCATTGCCACCTCCACCTCCCAGGTTCAAGTGATTCTTGTGCCTCAGCCTCCCCAACAGCTGGGATTATGGACGTGCTCCACCATGCCTGGCTAATTTTTGTTTTTTGTTTTTTGTTTTTTTTTTAAAGAGACAGGGTTTCACCATGTTGGCCAGGCTGGTCTGGAACTCCTGACCTCAGGTGATCCACCTGCCTTGGCCTTCAAGAGTGCTGGGATTACAGGCATGAGCCGCTGTGACCAGCCTGTCTTACTTTTTTAAAAACTTTTTTTTTTGGTATAGTCAAAGCCTAGGACATTACTGGCAGCACTGTAGACTAACTAGTCAAGGGCTTTTTAAAAATTAAATTCAAAATGAAATACACTGAATTGAATAGGCAGTGACTGAGTCTTATCCTTGTGTCTATAGTTTGGAGCACAGTACCTGAGGGCTCATGCTTCTCAATGGTAAGTGCCAAGGGGATATTTGTTAACACATGGAATTGCCCAGAAAGGTTGTTTATGAAGGAAGATGGAATACACTTTGAATGGAGGGTGAATCTGAGGATAAGTTCCAGTTGTTTCTATGGTTCATTGTTTCATTTTTTTATACTAGTCATTCTATTAAAATAAAACGTAGGGGATATTTTTCAGGACATAGACTTTTTTCATTCGAGATTAACAGAAATGGTCAGGCACGGTGGCTCACGCCTGTAATCCCAGCAACTTGGGAGGCTGAGGTGGGTAGATCACCTGAGGTCAGGAGTTTGAGATCAGCCTGGCCAGCATGGTGAAACCCTGTCTCTATTAAAAATATAAAAATCAGCTGGGTGTGGTGGTGCACACCTATAATCCCAGCTATTTGGGAGGCTGAGGAAGAAGAATCGATTGAACCTGGGAGGCGGAGGTTGCAGTGAGCCGAAATCATGCCATTGCACTCCAGGCTGGGCCACAAGAGTGAAACTCCGTCTCAAAAAAAAAAATTGCCAGGCACGGTGGCTCACGCCTGTAATCCCAGCACTTTGGGAGGCCGAGGTGAGCAGATCACAAGGTCAAGAGATGGAGACTATCCTGGCCAACATGGTAAAACCCCGTCTCTACTAAGAATATAAAAATTAGCTAGGTGTGGTGGCGCACGCCTGTAGTCCCAGCTACTCAGGAGGAGAATTGCTTGAATCTGGGAGGTGGACGTTGTAGTGAGCTGAGATCACGCCACTGCACTCCAGCCTGGTGACAGAGTGAGACTCCATTTCAAAAAAAGAAAAAAATTAACAGAAGACATGGGCAGAAGGGTATGTGTGTGGCTGTGGAGGAATTGTGCCCTTTTCCACAGAAATGAGAGAGTGTGGAGAATGATGCCTTGTGCAGAAGAGAGATCAGGGAAGAGAGAGGTAACTGAAACAGCTGGTGATGCCAAACCATCATCTCAAGATTTTCTTATTGTCTAAAAGCTCATGTTTAACTTCTTGGTAATTTTTCAGGGAATCTGCCTCTGTGGCAGTAGTTTGTCCACTTAAGTATATCTGTATTGAGGAAGGAGACCCAGGCATCTGGGATTACCTCCCTGCTCTGTCTTCTGCACTGCATTTCAACAGAAGAAAAGGTGGGTGCGCCTTGCACCTCCTGATTTTACCTTCCTGTAAATAACACACTTGGTATTGGGGAAACTCTCCGGAAGACACTGTTTTTACTTAAAACAAGATCAAGGCCAGGCGCAGTGGCTCAAGCCTGTAATCCCAGCACTTTGGGAGGCCAAGGCAGGTGGATCACAAGGTCAAGAGATTGAGATCATCCTGGTCAACATGGTGAAACCCTGTCTCTACTAAAAATACAAAAAATTAGCTGGGCATGGTGGCGTGTGCCTGTAGTCCCAGCTACTCAGGAGGCTGAGGCAGGAGAATTGCCTGAACCCAGGAGGCAGAGGTTGCGGTGAGCCAAGATTGTGCTATTGCACTCCAGCCTGGGTAACAAGAGCGAAACTCAGTCTCAAAAATATATATATATATATAAATTTAAAAATTAAGATCAAACCCCTACCCCACTCCTCCATCCAGAAACCAAATCTTTTCACATGTGATTTCTAAAACTGTAAACCCAAAACCCTTTCACATGTGATTCCTAAAACTGTAAACCCAAAACCTTTTCACTGTAAACCAGTAACCTTTTCACATGTGATTCCTAAAACCGTAAACCTGAAACCTTTTCATATGTGATTCCTAAAACTGTAAACCTGAAACCTTTTCATATGTGATTCCTAAAACTGTAAACCTGAAACCCTTTCATATGTGATTCCTAAAACTGTAAACCTGAAACCCTTTCATATGTGATTTCTAAGGCTGTAAACCTAAGATTCTTCCACATGTAATATCTATAAGTATACGCCTAAGTAAAGGCAGAACCTCCCTTTGTTAGACAAGCTGAATTTGGACAAATTATCACTCGGCTTCCGGCCATAATAATAAACCCCTTCCTTTTGCATTTGGTGTTCGAGGGCTCTGTTTCTCATGGCCGCTCCTCTAACAATATAAAATCAGCAGTGCCTTGCTGTTCTAACAACCTGTTTCACCCGATCCAATGAAAAGTCAGATTTTCACAGATTCCTTCCTGATAGGAGGCTGTGTGCTGCTGTCAATCTGTGGAGATGGAGAATTGTGTCTGTCTGTTTTTGTTCCCACAGTTAAAGCATGTTCCTGGCTTAGGAAGGGCAAGAAGCCATGGCATCTTGCAGTTGCTCCTAAAGACTTCTTGTCTGGGTATGGTGGCTCACACCTATAATCCCAGCACTTTGGGAGACAAAGGAGAGCAATGGCTTGAGCCCAGGAGTTCAAGAACAGCCTGGGCAACATAGTGAAACCCGCATTTCTATTAAAAATAATAATAATAATAGTAAAACAAAAAACTTCTCATTCTGAGTTTACCCTATACTTCCCCTGACCAGCTGTGGAGCTTTCTTCATCTAGGGCAGCAAGACATCAAACAAAGGCAGAGGAGAGGTTGACTCTTCCTGAAATCAGACTCTGTCCTCATACAGCAACTCCCACCAGGCCTAGAAGAGAAAAACCTCTCAAAATTTATCTGTAAAAAATGGAGAGAAAGAGTAAGAGAAAGTTTGCTTACACTGGAAAAATGCCATGGTTAGCAATGACCAACAAAAGCTCTTCCTGGGTTAGGAGTGCAGACCTAGATAGTTTGGCCTGACCATTGACTGAAATCTCTTTAAGTCTGATCTCTTAGTAAATACACACACACACACACACACACACACACTCTCTCTCTCTCTCTCTCTCTCTCTCTCTCTCTCTCTCACACACACACACACACATACACACACTAGAGACATAAGAGTGTATTGGTTAGTTGCAGTGGCTCACACTTGTAATTCCAGCACTTTGGCCAAGGCGGGCAGATCATCTGAGATCAGGAGTTCAAGACAGCCTAGCCAATGTGGCAAAACCCTGTCTCTATTAAAAATACAAAACTTAACCAGTCAAATAATAACAAGTGTTGGTGATGATGTTGAAATATTGAAGCCTTCATATACTGCTGATAGAAATATAAAATGGTGCCATCACTTTGGAAAATAGTCTAACAGCTCATCAAAAATTTAAACTTAGGCCAGGCATAGTGGCTCATGCCTATATTCCCAGCACTTTTGTAGGCTGAGGCGGGTGGATCACGAGGTCAAGAGATCAAGACCATCCTGGTCAACAAGGTGAAACCCCGTGTCTACTAAAAATACAAAAATTAGCTGGGCATGGTGGTGCGCGCCTGTAGTCCCAGCTACTTGGGAGGCTAAGGCAGGAGAATTACTTGAATCCAGAAGGCAGAGGTTGCGGTGAGCCAAGATTGTGCCATTGCACTCCAGTCTGGGTAATAACAGCGAAACTCCGTCTCAAAAACTAATAATAATAATTTAAACATAGACTTTCCATTTGGTCCTGCAATTCCACTCCTACTTATATACCCAAGAGGAATAAAAATGGGGCCGGGTGTGGTGGCTCACACCAGTAATCCCAGCACTTTGGGAGGCCGAGGCAGGTGGATCACTTAAGGCCAGGAGTTTGAGACCAGCCTGGCCAACATGGCAAAAACCTGTCTCTACTAAAAATATAAAACTTACCTGGGCATGGTGGCACATGGCTATAGTCCTAGCTACTCAGGAAGCCGAGGCAGGGGAATCACTTGAATCCAGGAGGTGAAGGTTGCACTGAGCCGAGATCACACCACTGCATTCCAGCCTGTGTGACAGAGTGAGACTTTGTCTCAAAAAAAGAGAGTATATTGCCCGTGTTATAAGTAGAACCAGTTATACTTCTTAAAAGAGGCTTCAATTTGCATTTCTCTGTTGGTTAATAATATTGAGTGTTTTTTCATATGTTTCTTGGCCATTTATATGTCTTTTGATAAATGTCCATTTCTGTTTCTTTGCCTATTTTTAAAGCAGATGTATTTGGGGTTTTTGGCTGTTGAGTTGTTTGAGTTCCTTGTGTCTTCTAGATATTAGCCCTTTGTCAGATGAATCATTTTGCCCCACTCTACCGGTTGTCTCTGTACTTTGTTGATTGCTTCCTTTGCTATGCAGAAGCTTTGCCATTTAATATAGTCCCATTTGTCTGTTTTTGTTTTTGTTGCCTGTGCTTTTGAAGTCTTAGCTCAAAGCTTTGCCCAGACCAGTGTCCTGCAGCATATCCTCTATGTTTTCTTCTAATAGAATGGTTATTATCAAACAAACAAACAAACAGCAACAAATACTGGCAGAGATATGGAGAAAAAGGAACTCTTATATACTGTGGGTGAAAATGTAAATTAGTACAGCCATATGGAAAAGAATATGGTGGTTTCTTAAAAAAAAAAACCTAAAAATAGAGCTACCATATGATCTGTCAATCCTACTACTGGGTATTTATACAAAGGAAAGAAAATCAGTTTGTCAAAGGGATGCCTGAAATTTCATGTTTATTGCAGAACTATTTACAATAACTATGATAGGCTAGGCACAGCGGTTTACACCTGTAATCCCAACACTTTGTAGGCTGAGGCAGGCAGATTACTTGAGGTCAGCCTGGTGAACATGGTAAAACTCCATCTCTATTAAAAATACAAAAATTAGCCAGGTGTGGTGATGCATGCCTATAATCCTAGCTACTGGAGAGGCTGAGGCACAAGAACTTGAACCTGGGAGGTGGAGGTTGCAGTAAGCTGAGTTCACGCCATTGCACTCCAGCCTGGGCAACAGGGTGAGACTCGAACAAACAATACTCACAATAGCTATGATATGGAATCAAGTTAAATAACCATCAACAGATAGATGGATAAAGAAAATGTGGTATACATACACAATGGAATACTATTCAGCCTTAAAAAGAGAATGAAATCTTGGGATTCATATCGACATGGATGAGCCTGGAGGACATTATGTTAAACACAGCAGGAACAGAACGATAAATACCGTATGTTCCCACTAATATGAGGAAGCTAAAAAAACTTTTTTGAGTTCATGGAAGTAGAGAGGAGAATTGTAGTATTAGAGGTTAGGAAGGGTGGGAGAAAGGAAGGATGCATAGAAGTTGATTAAGAGATACAAAATTACAGCTAGATAAGAGGAATGAGTTCTAATGTTCTGCAGCACTGTAGGATGAGTATAATTTACCATGTATCTTCAAAGAGCTAGAAGAGGCCAGGGGCATGGTGGCTCATGCCTATAATCCCAGCTGAGGTCAGTAGTTTGAGCCCAACCTGGCCAAGATGATGAAATCCTGTCTCTACTAAAAATGCAAACATTAGCTGGGAGTGGTGGTGTGTGCCTACAATCCCAGTTACTCAGGAGGCTGAGGCAGGAGAATTGCTTGAACCTGGAAGACAGAGGTTGCAGTAAGCTGAGATGGTGCCACTGCACTCCAGCCTGGGTGACAGAGCAAGACCTTGTCTAAAAAAAAAAGCTAGAAGAGAGAATTCTGAATGTTCACAACACAAAGAAATGATAAATATTTGAGATGATGGGTATGCTAATTACCCTGATTTCATCATTATACATTGTATACACGTTTCCAAATATCACTCTGTATCCCAGTAATATGTACAATTATTGCATTCCAATTAAAAAAATAAAAGGAGTGGGAAAGAACTTTCATTTATAAGGCACTTTTGCACACTTTGTCTTGTTTCGTCCTCACATGAGATAACCGAGGTTCAGAAAATAGCTTGTCCAATGTCACATGAATGTCAAGTGTTGGAGTCTTTTTACTCCAAATCCCATGCTATTACAGCACCTCAAAGGTTCCCCACATACACACAGGGAGCCAAACCGGTTGGAGGGCTGCACACGTTTTTTAGAGGAAAAAAAATATTAAAACTATATTTATATGGCTGGGTGCAGTGGCTCATGCCTGTAATTCCAGCACTTTGGGAGGCCAAAGTAGGTGGATCACCTGAAGTCAGGAGTTTCAAACCAGCCTGGTCAACATGGTGAACCTCTGTCTCTACTAAAAATTGGCTGGGCACAGTGGCTCACGCCTGTAATCCCAGCACTTTGGAAGGCCAAGGCAGGTGGATCATGAGGTAAGGAGTTTGAGACCAGCCTGAGCAACATGGTGAAACCCCGTCTCTACTAAAAATACAAAAATTAATCAGGTATGGTGGCACACACCTGCAATCCCAGCTACTCAGGAGGCCGAGGCAGGGGAATCACTTGAACCCAGGAGGCAGAGGTTGCAGTGAATGGAGATCATGCCACTGCACTCTACCCTGGGTGAAAAAGTGAGACTCTATCTCAAAAAAAAAAAATAAACAAAAAACAAAAATTAGCCAGGCATGATGGCACATGTCTGTAGTCCCAGCTACTCACGAGGTTGGAGAATTGCTTGAATTCAGTAGATGGAGATTTCAGTGAGCCGAGATTGCACCACTGCACTCCAGCCTGGGCAACAGAGGAAGACCCCATCTCAAAACAAAAACAAATAAACAAACACCTATATTTAGAGCTGGGCATGATGATTATGTGAGGCCTAAGACATGAGGATCATTTGAGCCCAGAAGTTTGAGGCTGTAGTGCACTATGATTGTGCCTATGAATAGCCACTACACTCCAGCCTGGGTAACATAGCAGGACTCCAACTCTAAAAAAGTTGTTTTAACTTAAAAAACAATATGCTAGGCCAAGGGTAGTGGCTCATGCCTGTAATCCCAGCACTTTGGGAGGTCAAGGCGGGTGGATCACTGGAGGTGAGGAGTTTGAGGCCAGCCTAAACAAGATGGTGAAACCCCATCTCTACTAAGAATACAAAATTAAGCAGATGTGGTGGCATGTGCCTGTAATCCTAGCTACTTGGGAGGCTGAGGCAGGAGAATTGCTTGAACCCAGGAGGCAGAGGTTGCAGTGAGCCCAGATTGTGTGGCAACAGAGTCTCAAAACACACACACACACACACACACACACACAATGTATTTATAGCTGGACACAATGATTATGTGTATATGTATATGTACATGCACAGAAAACAGGAGGGTACTATACATTGAAATAGATGGGTAATTTATTGGTGGCTTTTATTCTTTTTGACTCTCAGTATATCCTAGAGCAGTGCTGTCCAATAGAGCCATGATGGAAATGTCTGTGTTGTCCAATATGACAGCCACTAGTAAGATGGATTTATTGGGCCCTTGATGATGCACTATATTTGTGAAACACATACTGGGTTTTAAAGACTTGGTCTGAAGAGAAAAATGTGAAATATCTAATTAGTTACTTTTTTATATTTGTTAAATATTGAAATTATAATATTTTGGATATATTGGGCTAAATGAACCAGTATCCAAATTAAACTTGTTTCTTTTTTCTTTTAACATGGCTACTAGAAATTTTTAAATTATATATGTGGCTCACACAGTATATTTCTATTGAACAGCATTGGTGCACTAGTATAGAGTGCTTTTTTTTTTTTTGAGACAGGTTCTCACGCTGTCGCCCAGACTGGAGTGCAATGGCATGGTCTCGGCTCACTGCAACCTCTATCTCCCAGGCTCAAGCAAGTCTCCTGCCTCAGCCTCCCAAGTAGCTGGGGTTACAGGTGCCCACCACTTCACCTGGTGAATTTTTAGTAGAGACAGGGTTTTGCCAAGTTGGCCGGGCTAATCTTGAACTCTGACCTCAAATGATCCACCCGCCTTGGCCTTCCAAAGCACTGGGATTATAGGCATGAGCCACCATGCCTAGCACAGAGTACTCTTGAGTTTAAATGCATGAAGTTTGAAATCAGACAAACTGTAGTTTAACTCCCAGTCTTCACGTTTCTAACTAGGTGACCTTGAGTTGGTTACTTAATCCCCAACCCTTGTTTTCTTTTAATATAAAACAGGGGTAATCACTGAACCTAACTGAGATAGTTCTGTGAGGATTAAACGAGTTGATCATGAAAGGCCCTACTACAGGGAATACCTGCCACATGTTAACTGCTCAATAAAAATTAATAGTTACTCTGATTTCTAAATTTTCTATAGTGAATATGAATTTTTTATGTAATAAAGAGTAAAAAGAAAATCAAAACAATTAAATTTAAAAATTAAAGTATCTTGTTTTTAACTACAATCAAAAGATGAATATGTTGTTCTAAAGCTGTGTAATGTTTGCTTTGTCATGTATTTTATGTGTGTGTGTGTGCGTGCGCGCATGCACGTGCGTGTATGTGTGTACAAACCTTGGACAGGAGTGGAGTTGGGGACTGTGACAAATGACCATTTATTAGGTAATCCCATTTCTTCCCTCTGACCCTGGTCCTCTCTATTCCATCAAGAGGAGGGGATAATTGCATCATGGTTCTCCCTGGCACTCACAACACACCATGTGTTCGCCTATATTTAGCCACCATGAAGTCACTGAAACTCTATGCCCACTGGAGGCAATTTGTGCTTTGTTGTTTGTGGCTCACATGGCTTCTATTCTGACTGCTCTGCATAGTTTATGTCCTTAGATGAATTTAAAAGGACTGAAAAACCTTTTGTTGGTGGAAAAACTGTTTGGGGAGTAGAAACTGAAATGCCAAATCAGTGAGATCCCTGGAAGGGCCCCTGAGGTGAATACTTGATGTTTCTTGCAGACCAGGGAGACCTCAATTATCCTCTTCTTTGATGGAAGGAGAAGGACCAGAGTGAGCAGGCTGGGGAGGGAGGAATTATCTATATTCCACTCAAATGGTAAAAGCAGCACATCCAGTCAGTGGCTCCCAATAGCAGTGCCAACTCCACTCTCCTTCCAGCAATTAGAAGTGACACATGGAGGCCAGGCACAGTGGCTCATGCCTGTAATCTCAGCCCTTTGGGAGGCTGAGGCAGGTGGACCACTTGAGGCCAAGAGTTCGAGACCAGCCTGGCCAACTTGGTGAAACCCCATCTCTCCCAAAACACAAAAATTAGCTGGGCATGGTGGTGCATGCCTGTAATTCGAGCTACTCGGGAGGCTGAGGCACAATAATCACTAGAACCTGGGAGTCACAGGCTGCAGTGAGCAGCTGAGATCGCACCACTGCTCTCCAAACGGAGTGACAGAGTGAGACCCTATTTCAGAAAGAAAAAAAAAAAAACAGAGTGCAGTGGTTCACACCTGTAATCTTAACACTTTGGGAGGCTGAGGCAGGTGAGTCACGTGGGGTCAAGAGTTTGGACCAGTCTGGCCAGTAGGATGAAATCCCATCTCATGCTCGCTTCAACAGCACATATACTAAAATTGGAACAATACAGAGAAGATTCGCATGGCTCCTGTGCAAGAATGACACACAAATTCGTGAAGCATTCCATAAAAAAAAAAAAAGAAAAAAAATTTTTTTAAAGAAAAGTTAAAAAAATACTAAAAAAAGAAAGAAAGAAAAAAGAAACTCCATCTCTACTAAAAATATACAAACCAGGTAGATGTAATGGTGCACACCTGTAATCCCAGCTACTCAGGATGCTAAGGCAGGAGAATTGCTTGAAGTGCTTGAACCTGGGAGGTGGAGATTGCAGTCGGGGTGGCAGATTATGACTCTGTCTCAAAAAACAAAAAAAAGAAATGACACGCGGAATATAGACACACAGCAGCTCAGCAAGGCTGATGATACAAGAGGACAACAGCTGCAGGGACCACCCACGTGGTTTCAAAGGTTCAACTTGTTGGCTGTTACTTGGATTTTACTCTCAGTGTCTCCTTCCTCTATCTTGAGGCTCTGAACTGTGTGTGTGTGTGTGTGTGTGTGTGTGTGTGTGTGTGCAGGAAGACATTGGGAACCTCAGCTTAGAGTCTCAATTCTCAATTTTTGTCTCTCACTTTGGATAAAAACTGTAGAAGAAACTTACTCCTATCAGAGAATACAGTTCTGTTAAAATAGCTTCAAGGGAGTGGGCAAAGAAATAAGGCAAACATTATTATATATATTTTCGAGACAGGGTCTCACTCTGTCACCCAGGCTGGAGTGCAGTGGTTTCATCATAGCTCACTGCAGCCTCGACCTCTTGGGCTCAAGTGATCCTCCCGCCTCAGCCTCCCGAAGTGTTGGGACTGGCAGAAGTGAGTCACTGTGCCCAGCCAATGAGTTTTAAATAGTCATTTATTCATTCATCCAACAAATATTTATTGAGTACACAGTATGAATAATACTAGTTACATTTCATTTGTGTCATCGCTTTATCTGTTTTTTAACTAACCATAATTCTATTTATTTATATATTTTTATTGCAAATTAACAATTTATAATTGTATCTATGGGGTACAAAATGATGTTATGATTTATGAATACAATGTGAATTACTTAAACCAAGCTAATTAACATATCCATCGCCTCAAATATTTATCATTTTTTTGTAGTGAGAACATTGGAAATTTACTCTCTTAGTTTTGAATTAATCATAATGTTTGTAGTTTTACTAAAAAATGTTTTCAGTTTCATTCCTCCTCATTTTCACTATAGATTTGGTTAACTTATTTAAAATTTATCCTTGGACAACATTAAATATATATATGTGTGTGTGTGTGTGTGTACGTGTAAGCTCACTCACAAGGCAATTTGAAGAGGTTGCCGGTTTTAATGCTCTATCATTATATCCCTATGGGCAGTAACAAAGAGGTAACAGACAATTACCAGCACACCTTTTTTCTCTTACAAAAGAAGCAAGCCAATAAGTGTCAAGCAAATTCATTTCGGGAGAAAGTGAGTTAACTTAGATTTATTAAAAAGTAAATCATTTCAAACTTCAGCACTTTATTATTAGTAACAAGTTAATTTCCACATACCTCACACTCTAATGAGAATTGCTGTGTTGGACAGCAACCAGTCATCAACTCCTCAGTGTGAATGAGAATCTGAGAGCAGATTCTAAGAGGTGGAGTGAGGCCCAGAGAACACTGGGTTCTTGGAGCAGGGAGCGGGCAACCTGGGGACAGAATGTCTCCAGCTTCCGAATTTTGCACAGGGACCTTGTCTCAGGAGTAACTTCCCTATGTCCTAGTCCTACTGGCCTCAAAATCACAGAAACTGAGTTCTTTAAAATTTTGGTTTATATTTTACTGCTAATTGCTATGATTACCACTACTAATTACCATAATAGAAAAGGGAAATCTGCTCTTTCTGAAGCTTTTATACATTGACAGTCATTATAGTAACCATTTATGGTAAGTTTTTGAATGCATAAAATGGTTATAGTGAGGCTGGGGGTAAATATTGTTACTATGTTTTTAAGATATAAATACATAAAAATAATTCCATTAGTACAACAGTTTAAAATGTGCCACAGCAATCGTCAATAGCTTTTACTGCTATAACTGTATAACAGGGTACTTTTTCAAGAATGTTTTGTAAAGATGATGCATTCCAAATCTGTGTAAAAAATATCTTATTCATTAAATGGAGTACTCATTCGAAAAAGAAAATGAAGGTGAATTCTCTATTTGCTCCTTATAAAATATGTTTCAAACAATGTATGATTTAAAAATAAAATAAATGAATCAATTCTAGAAGGGAAACTAAGTAAATATTTTCTTTTTCCTTTTTTTTTTTTTTTAAGAGACTGGGTCTTGCTATGTTGCCCAGGCTGGAGTGCAGTGGCTATTCACTACTGATCAGCATGGGAGTTTTGAACTGCTCTGTTTCTGACCTGGGCCAGTTCACCTCTCATTATGCAACCTGGTGGTCCCCCACTCCTGGGAGGTCACCATATTGATGCCAAACTTAGTGCAGACACCCGATCAGCATAGCACACTACAGCCCAGAACTCCTGGACTTAAGTGATCCTCCAGCCTCAGCCTCCCGAGTACCTGGGACTACAGGCACACATCACTGCACCCAGTGAGTAAATATTTTTATACTCTTGGAGTAAGGAAGTTCTTTTTAAGCTGAAATCCTCAAGGAAGACTGTGAATGGGGGCTTTTTTTTTTTTTTTAAGTAGAAATGTCTTCACAGCAAATACATAAGAAACAAGGTTGCAAAATACTGGGGAAAATCTTTGCAATATTTGTGACAGATGAATATGATACAATATACATAAGACATTTACATATAATGACCACAACAACTTTTACACATAAGAACAAATAATCCTGGCTGGGCAAGGTGGCTCATGCCTGTAATTCCAGTACTTTGGGAGGCCGAGGTGGGCAGATCACTTGAGGTCAGGAGTTCAAGACTAACCTAGTCAACATAGTGAAACCCCATCTCTACTAAAAATACAAAAAGTTAGCCAGATGTGATGGCGGGTGCCTGTAGTCCCAGCTACTTTGGAGCCTGAGGCAGGAGAATTGCTTAAATCTGGGAGGCAGAGGTTGCAGTGAGCTGAAATCGAGCTGCACTCCAGGCTGGTCAATAGAGCAAGACTCTGTCTCAAAAAAAAGAACAAACAATCCTAAAAATCAATGGGCAAGGGGCTTGAATAAGGAGCTCACCGAAGTATGATTCCTGAACTATTCAGCACAGTAAGATATGAGGGCCAGAAACACTTTGGAGATCACCAGCCTAACCTACTGCTTTACACAGGAGGAAACAGAGGCCCGAAGCTGTTTAGTGATGTGCCTCATGTCACTTCACCGGTTAGTGCAGAATTAATGTAACTTCACATTGAAACAGTCTATAGGGTCTTTAGACATCAAATATGAGGAAAAGCAGATCTAGTTGCAGCCCCCATATTCAGACCTCCATGTGTCACCCTTGGAAAGCATTGGGACAACACCAGGAGAGAAAAATGGAGATTCCCAAGGCCCCATTTGCACTCTTGGCTGCAGAATATGAGAGAGGTGAGCTCATTTGGCCTGGGCTGCCCATGTAGCAGCTTCAGAGGCTCGGATGTGGGACACTGAGTTAAACAGACATTCCAGGTCAGCCACCATTTGTTTGGATGACAGCCTCCAGCCCAGCTCTGCTAAAGGTCACTACCTGCAAGGCAAGCCTTTGCTGACAGTGGATGCAAAGACCCCACCAGCAGTCCAGGGCTGGACACTGATACGATCTGAATGGAAGTCAAGAGGGAGGCAAAGAAAGCAAAGGATGTGTCATTCTAGTGGCTTTCACTATCACCCAGGTCAGGGGTTCCCCAAGTCTGGCCTGCACACAACTGAGGGCATGCAAAATAATTATTTTAGGTAGCATTCAGATACTCCCCGCCTCCATACTTTTTTAAAATGGGCTTGTATTTGTTTCAATGTGTATAAAAACATAACTGGAACATCGAAATCATGATTTCATATGTATGGGGTTTTTTCTGGTATTTTTTTTCTTTTTTCTTTTTTTTAGGATGAGCCTACAGTAAGTATTTCGGTTAAAAAGTGACTTTATTTAGGCTTGGCATGGTGGCTCATGCCTGTAATCCCAGCACTTTGGGAGGCTGAGGTGGGCAGATCACCTGAGGTCAGGAGTTCAAGGCCAGCCTGGCCAATATGGTGAAACCCCATCTCTACTAAAAATACAGAAATTAACCAGGTGTGGTGGTGCATGCCTGTAATCCCAGCTGCTCTGAAGGCTGAGGCAGGAGAATCACTTGAACCCAACAGGCAGAGGTTGCAGTAAGCCAAGATCACCCCACTGAACTCCAGCCTGGGTGACAAAGTGAGCCTCTGTCTCAAAATAAATAAATAAATAAATAACTTCATTTAAAGAACAATACGAAGCCAGGCTCATGTCTGTAACCCCAGCACTTTGGGAGGCCGAGGCAGGAGGATCATTTAAGCCAGGAGTTTGAGACCAGATTACGCAACATAGGGAGTCCCTATCTCAACGAAATTAAAAAAAAAAAAAAAAAATTAGCTGAGTGTGGTGGCATGCACCTCTAGTCCCAACTACTCTGGAGGCTGAGGTGGGCAGATCACTTGAGCCCAGGAGGTCGAGGCTGCAGTGAGTCCATATCATACCACTGCACTCCAGCCTGGGCAACAGAGTGAGACCCTGTCTCAAACAGAAAAACAAACAAACAAACAACAAAATAAAGAACAGTACTAAGTAATTAACGGTGCAGGTTATGAACGAGGTATACAATGACTGAAGTTTGGGAAACTGATATAGTCCATTTTGCATAATTTTTTTTTACCAGCCCTGGAAAGAAATACATTTTATAATGCCTGCCAACCCATACATACATACATTTATGCAGGGGTAACAAAGCGTTTGTGAAACAATTATTCCCATTTGTGTGAGGCACTCTGGACCCTAGATGCATTTGACACCACTTTCCCTTTCCTTCCCCTTCTCCTCTATTTAATTGTCTCTAAGTCCTTTCTATCAGTTCTGCTACTGCTGCTTCTTTATTTTTATTTTTTTTCTGAGACTGTGTCTCAGAACTCGGTGGCCCAGGCTTGAGTGCAGTGGCACGATCTCAGCTCACTGCAACCTCTGCCTCCAGGATTCCAGCAATTCTCCTGCCTCAGCCTCCTGAGCAGCTAGGACTACAGGTGCACGCCACCATGCCTGGCTTTTTTTCTTTTTAGAGATAGGTTCTCACTCTGTCGTTCAGGCTGAAGTGCAGTGGCCCAATTATGGCTCACTGCAGCCTCAAACTCCTGTGCTCA